CATCTAAGATCATCTCATGCTTCACTTTAAGTCCCTGCCGACGAAAACCCCAAAAAGCTGCCCCAAACCCTGAATAAAATTGTGTATATGGGTAGTTCTCTAAATTAGGGTCCCTTTTTAGGTCCTTATTATAATACGGCACCTATTATTTAGGGTACCCCAAAAGGGACCATAATTTTGACAACTACCCACATGTTTTTTTTACAAGTTGCTACGAGCCCCTACTGTTCGAGCCCCCTTTGTTGAAGGTTGTTAGTATTGGGATCCTTCTTGCTGTCGTTCGTTACCTAGGAAAAAGATTTCGGATTTAGGGTTCAGGGTTTACGGGAAGGGAGAGGGATGTTTATCAGTCGGGGTCGTTTTTCTAGCTACTCAGGCCTCTGTATTGTGGTGTGGTGGCTTGTTGATTCAGGATGGGTGTCTAGGCTTGAGGGTTTGGGACTCGGGTTTCGGGCTTGGGGTTTAGGGCCCAAGGGCGTGTTTAAGTGGGAATGCGCAGCTGAGATCAAGCCCGGTGAGAAATTGGAGAAGGCACGGCGTTGAACTGGCGGTTCAGGGGGCTTGCAAACCTTCTAAATCAGGAACCCGAAACCTACACCCAAGCTTCTGTAGCACCAAGCCAAGCATGCTGAAACCTAAACTCTGAGCGTTGCGCCGGAAAATAATTTGGCCCGACTTCAATGATTCAAGATTCACTGCCCCTGTTCCAGGGTTGAGGACACTCAATGTCTATGCCCAGGCAACTGAACATGCTGGCTCTACCAATCATATACACCCGATGACCACACCAATCATTAAGCGATGTGTCTGATTCACCATTTCAGCGTACTCCTGTGGTACGGCAGCTCCCTACACAGCTCCCTCGCCCTTCTATAAATTGCTCACCGTAGTTAATGTCCCTGCACTAATCAAACCCGACAAACCCTTTAAAACATCGGTATGAAGACTGTTCAAGAGCCAATGACACCCAAACCCCATTCAAACCATGAAGGTCCCTGTGTTCTAGACCCTTCTAGTAACCGTTTGGAACCAACCCTATTCCATTATCCCCCTCTGTTCCATTAATTGAGGCCCTTACACAGTACAGAACCCGTACAGTAGCCCTAACAGAAACCCTTATAACTTGTCGCCTTAGAGCAACCTTTGTAGTCTTTGTAGTAAATGTTAGTATCCCCCATGAACCCCTTTAGAAAAAACACCACCCTAAACCCTAAACCCTCTCCCTCCCGTGATACTCCCTGGAAGGTCCAGGAGGGCGTCTCTCAGTCTCTTGAGGCTCTAGTCGAGAAGCTGCGGGCGCAGCGCTCAGTTTTTGTTTGTTTTGTGGAGGTCTAGGGCTGATAAGGTTTAGAGATTCGAGTATAGACTCTCTTTTCTTCAGACATGCCCTGAGTGGAGCACTATAGCTTACGGTGCTGGGATTGTGCGAGATTTAGGATGAGGGTTTTGCAGATTGGGCTCTGGGTTTGGCGCTGCATGAGGGCTGCACGGGGTGAGTATAACGAGGGGCCGCAGGAGCAGTCGCAGGACAAATGTAGCAAGAGCCGTGTGACCCAACCAGCTGAATACTCAAAGGGCTTCGGGCTTAAGGTCAATTCCCAACGGGATTCCAACCAGGATCAACTAACAAGCCAGGCTGCTGTGAGAGAAGCGACTGCCGCAAACCTGCAGAGGATCGGTTTCGGAACCCTGCAACTCCGCTCGTCTTCGCATCATCATGTACTCCTACAGAGCCGCCAAAGCGGCTTGACTGGCATCGTCGCGAAGCCAATATCACGACTCGGTAGTGGAGCCCGGAAAACGAAGGGACAAGCCTTACTACTGGACTCCGACTGAGAGCCTCGCTCTAGGGCGACGGTTTACAGGGCTCCTTTCCAGCATTGCTGAGTGTGTCTCCTGGGTTTATACTCTACGGAAACCAGTAGAATCAGTCAACGGCAACCGACCTCACATGTCATTCCGTATGTCTCTGCGGACATAGCCAACGGTTCTCTGCTGCACCGGAGAATTTTTCCGAGCAGCTGGCCGCAGACCTGAACCCTAAAACCTAAACCTAAACCCTCTGGAGCCTCAGTCCTAAGCTGAGGCCTTCAATCCTAGTCCACAGCCCGATGTGCACTGAATTTGTTTTCGCTTCTGCAGGGGTACTGGGCACGTGGGCTTAAGGTTGTGGTGTTAATTTTACTTCGATTGCTATGACTACCGTGAGTATCAAAACTGTTCTTGTCAGCAGCATACTGTTCCTGCGACTGCTGCTACGAGTATTCTTGGTATCCTAAACCCTCCAGCCGAAACCCTAAGGACTGGGAACCCGACGCCCACAAGATGACTAGTACCTAACCTTGGCTTTGTGACCTGCAAGGTGCACTTGGAAGATAGTGATCTGGAGAGCAACGATCAGAGATACGATGTTGCGAAGGAGGAGTGTCAGGCTCGATCTCTCTGCCTCTGAACCCTAAGCCCCCAAACCGTCTTTCCCATTTGGCGGTTTCTGAAAATAGGGGACCCTAATATAGTACCCTAAATAGTAGGATCCTTAATATAAGGACCCCAAAATAAGGTACCCCTAATTTTCGGAAACCCCCATTTAAAGTTTCGGTGTTTCAGGGACAGGCTGCAGGGCTTTGGCTTAGAGTCTGGAGTTTATGGTTCAGGGCGGCTGGTGACCTTGCCTGAGCCCGAAACCCTAGACCATAGGTCCTACACCCTAATTCCGCTATGCAGAGACCCGGAGAACTGAGCTTTAGATCCCAAAGCTCACAGGCACGCACCAGAGAACCCAATACAACGTGACTAAGGCATCGAAAAGCTTCTTATGATGGGTTGAAGCATTTTATTACCCTGGTCCTAAGCCCTTGCTCTAAGCCCCCGATCAATCCTTAAGTCTTAAACTCCAACCTCAACCTCTAGAAACCGAAGCCGTCAACTCCTACCAGGGAGGGAAGAAATCCGAATGCACCGCTGTATGTAGGAGTGTATGTCTGGTTGCTAAAAGCCATGTCAGACCAACAGGGCTCCTTTAACGCGTTCTACGTACGGGTTGCCATAAGGGGTATTCTATATGGAGATATGGAGTTTAGTGTATATTGCAGCAACCTTGGTAAAGGGACCGGAAAGCTTTCTTGCTGCCCCTTCCTATAGGACCAGACTCGTATCGGATGAGGGTCGGAATAGTTCGGACATCTTGGTATCCCCCTATAGTCACTATCGTCCCTATCCCATCGTACGGTCACATCACCTAAACCCTATCCTAGTTAGTTCTAGACAATCCTCAAAGGAACCTTTAAAGAAACCCCGTTCCAATTACCAAGGCCCTTGCATCGAAGCCGTGCAGGAACCGAGAAAGGGAAGGTTCTGATGGGAACGCTGAACGAACTTGTGAAGTAAAGGAACGCTTAAAGGACCCACCAAATCCCAAAACGCTACGCTAAACCCTAAACCTCAAACACTACTAATACCAATACTAATACAAATGCTAATACTAGTCTTAGTGCAGATACTAATGCGATTACAAATACTAACACTAGTACTAATACTAGGGCCGATACTAGTACCAATGCGAATACTAGTATCAATGCTAAAACAAATGCTAATTCTACGACTAGTATTAATCCCCTAAAGCCTAAACCCTAAAAACTAAACCTTAAACCTTAAACCCTGGA